AGAGAGAGAGAGAGAGAGAGAGAGAGAGAGAGAGGCAATCACCAGAAGCTTGAGTTTTGTTACATTACATTGTCTTATATGATATGATAGGGGCTGTGATGTGATGGGACTGTTATGGCATAACTTATGGGGCAATGAATTGATGAATTATTGCGATTAAAGTAATCTATCATTTCTAAGCGCGTGATTGTTATACACAATACTCGGGTCTGGACTCTGTGTTATAGCCTATGCTATGATATGTCAAAATAATTGAGCACTCGTTCACCTAATATTGTATTACCGGCGCTATATGTCTACCACTGTATACATTAAATTCACTGTTTTGATTACCATTCACTTATAATACTGTTAATACTGTTGTTTCGCCTAATTATTAATGCTATTCACCAAACGTTATGATATATAAAGTTATTTAAACTCAAATGATAATAATAACTGATATATAATTCATTGCGTAAAACAGTATTTTTGCTTTATTTCGAGACTTCACTACAAATCTTTGATTTCCACGATTTCAATGCACTCTTAAAATTAGATTTGTATTTACGCTACAATTGCGAAGAAGATGTCAATTAAATTGAAAGAAAGAGTGAATTACAAGTGAAAGAGAGAAGAGATTAAAGTTTTTCAATATAAAAGTTTTTAAAATTTCAAAAAAATTCAATTTTTTGTGATTAAAAATAGTGGTTAGCAATAAATTGAAACTCAAAAAAGCCTTATTCTTGCAAATAGTCTCTCTCTATGTGAGCGTAGAGTTGGAGTTAAGCCCAGAAAACGAGATAACGAGTGGTTTGGGTGGAGTCGAGTGGTTCTGAAGGCGGACTCATTGATCACTTCACTCATGAGTGCGAAAGGGAGTCGACGGTAGAGTCAGTCAACATATCTGTGATGTTGTGAGCGATCGTGTAATGCATTCTCTCTTCACATCCAATACTTTATACTATTATATATACCACAAGAATNGATCACTTCACTCATGAGTGCGAAAGGGAGTCGACGGTAGAGTCAGTCAACATATCTGTGATGTTGTGAGCGATCGTGTAATGCATTCTCTCTTCACATCCAATACTTTATACTATTATATATACCACAAGAATCTCAGTATCGGTTCGATTGCCTCAACACTAATCGTCTCGAAAAAGTTTTTTTAAACATAAGTTTTGTGTTCAATACTTGTGTTGTTTGAGTGCATCGGAAGAAGAAATAAGTTATTGAAATAAAGTTTTTGTTTGTTTGGTATTTGTTTTCGTCGACACAATTAGTTGTGTTTTACATTTTGTTTGATAATCGGTTGGGAAAAGGAGTCAAAACTGGCTCCTTTGACAGGTAATACATGTGCCATCACTTACTGCTCTTCTAAAGCCTTATATACCTTAAAGTCTTGTGTTTTTTATGTTTGTTTTATCCAAACTGTTTGTTATCAACCAATTACTACCTATTCTGTCAAACTTATAGCTCAGAGATATTTAAATAAAATTCTTCTTCTTTTTTGCCTGTTTTTCTGGTAAACTAATGAAGAGATCGCGACCACAACGACTACTTACCACCAGAAGCCTTATCTGATTCCGTCCTTCTCTGAGTCCATCACAAGAACAGGTCTGGATTTCATGAGAGCCACCGCTTTGGCCACACCATCGCCATCGCCAACGCAATCAGAAGCGCTGTCTTTGATAAACAAACCGACCATCAGTTGTACGTCACCTAAGAATCAAACGACAATCAGTAATCAAAACCACAATAAGACAATCAAGAGATCAAACGGTTTCTCGATTGCGAACCTTGTTTTCAACGAAGACAGGGATAGGGATAGAGATATGGGAATACTTGAAAGATGTGATCCAAACAACATATTAAGTGACAAAATATCGGCGATTGACGAACGACTCAAATCGGATCTCTATAAAGGAGTCGTGTCTCCCGTTCACAGCAGGTCTGACATCGACGACGACGACGACCTCAGCATCAAAGTGGATGACGACGACAGACAACACTCGGTATGTTTGCCTCCAAACACATCTCATTATACCAATGAGTGTACACTTATTGAGTGCAATCATAGCGATTGTAATCACTATTTGAATGTCAAATGAATTAATGAGTGTTTTATTTGATATGTTCTTAAGGATGACGACGACGAGAACCCTCGGCGACCCCTAAGTGGTGGCCATACGGTGGAAGCGGACGGCCATATCATGCGTAACGATCACTCCGACGACTTTCCCAAACGAAAACAGCGCAGATATCGGACAACATTCACCAGTTTTCAGTTGGAAGAGCTCGAGAAGGCCTTCTCCCGCACCCATTATCCCGATGTCTTCACGAGGTTTGCACACAATTTGTTATATAATGTTATAGATATAAATGAAAATGTATTCATTCAAAAAAATGATAGTTATTTAAAATGATAGCAAAATAAGTGCCGGTAATAGAAATGATATACACATATAATGTGGTATAATATGGTTTATATACGGATTCATTGTCTGTGAATATTGTGTTCATTAATTTGTCTGACAATTGAAGTCGTGTTCGCCAGTGCTTTACAACTGGTTATTATTATTGTTGCAATGAATTGCATGCGATTCTTGAATATTATTAATTATGGTTTCAGTTATTTTTATTAATAAATAAAAACGCTATAGAGTTTGGCACGAAATGCAATCATTTTTTATAATCGTAATAATAATTATGCGACCATTTATTAGTATTAGTTAATGTGGTAACGATTTTGCAAATTATATTAAACACTATAAAAAAACTATATATTATTTCATTTCATATCTAAAAATATGAACTTTTATTTCGACCCCAATGTCTAATTTCACAAATACAATCATTTTAGTTAATTAATACTCTATATTACCGTACATTTTATGCTCTCTCTCTCTCTCTCTCTCTCTCTCTCTCTCTCTCTCTCTCTCTCATGAAAGGCAATGATTGAGTCCGTTCATGAGTGCGAAAGGGAGTCGACGGTAGAGTCAGTCAACATATCTGTGATGTTGTGAGCGATCGTGTAATGCATTCTCTCTCTCTCTCTCTCTCTCTCTCTCTCTCTCGTTAATAATTATATTCTAATAAAACTTTAATAACTAATTCTTTTAGTAATGTTTGCATAAAAAATAATTATGTGATTAAAGGAAGAGTAGGAATAATAATGGTTTAATAGTTGTTGTATTTCTCTTTCTCCACATATTTCTCTAATTGAAATTTGAATATTTAATTAGTTTTTCTGAAATAATTTTCTCTCAAATTAATATACATTTAGTTTTTATAATTTAATGCATTTCCAGAATAGCCAGTAGTCTCTGTGTGAGAGAGCATTACTATTTCCCACAACATATTAACTTCATTTTTAATACACTATTTGTACAAAAAATTAATTTATTAGTGGAAAAAATGTTTTAACGAAATATATATTTATATTTTATGCCGATTTCATTAGTGTTTTCGTCTCAGAGGCTATAATCGGTTAGTTTTTTTGATTTATGGTTACTTTAAATTATTTAAAATTAACATTTAATGCCTGTTTTAGTAATTATAAGCCTATAGTATTTACATTGCATTAAAAGTACTTTTTAGTGACAAAATCTTGTTTTTCTAATCAATTAAAACTAATTTGGAAATAAATATCTTCACACGAATTATTGAATTGAATTTAAATTATAATTAATTTTTAACTGAATTTCATATAATCTTAAATAGTATTCACGCATTCAATGTCTTATACAGTATAAGAGTTGTGATATGTTTTATAACATTAAATGCCTTTTTATTATAAATTATTATTATCTATAAAAATACATTTTTCTAACAAAAAATCTATTTAATCATTGAATATATTTTGATAATGTGTTTATAAAATTAGATTTAATTGATTAGAAATCCTTACAATAAATCTACTGTTGTTTTTTGCAATAGATTTTGTTTTATTTATTTTTACTGAAAATGTTTGTAAGAGAATAAGAAGTTTTAAATATAACGTTAATATAATAAAATCAAATTATTATGAATGACTTAATTAGATGTTTGACTTTTTGAAAATCATTTATTATTTTCACATTAAGCAAAGAATATATCATTATTTCTCAATGATTTTTGGTGAACAAAAATAAAATGCTTTATTCAAAACACTATAATATTAATAAACCAAATACTCATTTCAGTTGTAAGCAAAATAAGCAAAACTTTAAAATAATTCAATCAAATTATTATTAAGAGAAAAATATATATTAGTTTTATATTTCAGCAAAAATTATTCTCATTGCAGATAAGATATTTCCAATTAAACATATCTTTAGTTTTCCCCCAAAAAACCTGAATAATTATACAAATTATGAGAAATGTTGTCTTCGCCCACATTTTATATACACAGATATATTTCAATATATATTTCAAATGTGGAAATATTTAATATAATTTCTCAAATCTTATTATTATCTAAATTACTATATTTTAAAAAGAGGGAGAGAGGAGATGAGACATAAATGCAATTAAATTATAAATTAATGGTTTATTAGTAATAAATTATTACACATGAATTTTTGAAGGAATTTAAATTAATATTAGTTAAAGAGAGAAAAAAATACATTTTTATTTGACATTTTATGAAAACATTGAAAAATAACTTCTTATTTATGAAACAAAAATATTAAGCAAAAACTCGAGAGACAAAAATAAGCGCCTAATTATGACTTTGGTTAGAAATTTAATTAAATATTTTATTGTCATTTTATGTCTTATTAATACCAGTTGTTGAACAGTAAACGTATAGTAAAATTCTCTATCAATTACTTATGTTTTTCTTGTTTTCACTCAATTTTCAAGGATATCCCCATTTGTATTGAGTCGCACCGTTAGGCTATGGCTATACCTGTGATACCTGTGTGTAGTTATTATGTATACCAAAACGTGTTAAGACCTCATATGTATTATTATTTGATTTCTTGAATTACACTTTTCTCTCCCCTATTAGCTCACAATAAAGTCATTTCATGTAATAATCGGTTGTTTCGAAATTCATTACTTAGTAATGAATTTCGAAACAACCGATTATTACATGAAATGACTTTATTGTGAGCTAATAGGGGAGAGAAAAGTGTAATTCAAGAAATCAAATAATAATACATATGAGGTCTTAACACGTTTTGGTATATATAATAACTACACACAGGTATCACAGGTATAGCCATAGCCTAACGGTGCGACTCAATACAAATGGGGATATCCTTGAAAATTAAGTGAAAACAAGAAAAACATAAGTAATTGATAGAGAAATTTACTATACGTTTACTGTTCAACAACTGGTATTAATAAGACATAAAATGACAATAAAATATTTAATTAAATTTCTAACCAAAGTCATAATTAGGCGCTTATTTTTGTCTCTCGAGTTTTTTGCTTAATATTTTGTTTCATAAATAAGAAGTTATTTTTCAATGTTTTCATAAAATGTCAAATAAAAATGTATTTTTTTCCTCTCTTTAACTAATATTAATTTAAATTCCTTCAAAAATTCATGTGTAATAAACCATTAATTTATAATTTAATTGCATTTATGTCTCATCTCCTCTCTCCCTCTTTTTAAAATATAGTAATTTAGATAATAATAAGATTTGAGAAATTATATTAAATATTTCCACATTTGAAATATATATTGAAATATATCTGTGTAAAGAGGCGTTCAATTAATGTTGCGCGTCGCGTTTCTTTAATAACTTTTAAACTATAAGAGATAATTTATTTCTGTCTAAAGGATATAATAGAGTAAGCGACGCAGAATTTTTTCATATCCTATGGAGCAATGTGGGTCACGTGGTTTTCTAAATAACCTATACATTCCAAATCATTATATTATTTTTCAGCCCTTAAGAGTTATAGGGATGGTCTCAATACAAAGTTTGTTAAGCAATAATAGATGTGTACAATGAAAAAAGAATTATTAAAATCGGAGCAGTAGTTAAGTTTTTATGACTTAAGGAAGTTGAGTATTCTGTAATGTAATCATATGGACTAATGCTAA